AAACATATTAGCAATAAATAATAAATAAATCACGAGTCTGATCACGGCGATTTCATAGTTTTATGAGTTCAACCTGTTCGAACACTTTCCTGGATTTGCTAACAAATTAAAAATATTGAAGGCTTTTTCTGCGACACTAGGAAACTTAACGCAGTTAGAACTTTCATTAAGTTCACCTCGAATAAGCTAAAGAGATATTCCAACTACTAGGAAATTAAACTATTATCATACTAAAAGCAGGTAGGTTAGTGTTAAGAGCCAGGAGAGTAAACTTTAGCGGAAACAAAGGAGTAGTTGTAAATCTTCAGATGTGAGAATAATACGCAGCCTTAAAAATATGTGCATCCGTTAGGCTCGGGAGATTTTAACCGTCCCGGTTTTGAATAGATCTGCAGTTTGGTATTTCCTCTGAGAGATTACAATCGTATAATGTTCCAGGCGGTGTAGGGAGAACCGACAATGGCAAAATATTCCACAAGGATCACTCTTTAACCGTAGATCCCGGCCATTACATCTCTTTGAATACAATAAAGGCATTCCTTTGCGTTTTAATACATGGATAAAATATAAAAGCCTTCTTGTAAAAATCTATAAGGGAAATGTACAGGCCCTTCTTGGAATGTGATACAAGGGTCTAAATGGCCGTGTTGGTGCCCGGCACCGTGTATCATTAAGGAACACAAAGACCTAATGATTCTGATGATTAGGGCTTGGGAAGCATCATCACGCATTCCACCACCCCCGTCGGACCTGCGACAACCCGATGTTTTATTTTATGAGAAAGCGCTTTTCGGCGATCGCTAATGGACGAGAGGGGTGACATCGCCGATTATCGGCGTCTATTAGCAGTTGTGAATCAAGTTGTCATAGGACCATTAGGAGGAAGGACACAGATCCTGCATTAGCCCGCTAATATTGAGCGGTTCGGGTGCGGAATAACTCTGAGGATGTTAATAGTCTCTGCGAACGAGGCGCCTTCGCCAACTAGATAAGGTTTCCCTTCCCTGATATATAGCACCTAAATCAAGTCACTTCTCTTGTTTAATTTAACACCCGCTTAGATAAATCAGAACCGCTCCATTGTTAAACCTTCCATTTCAATTTTATTTTTAGTCCAAAGGAAAAAAAAAGAAAATTAAAACGCCATGAAATGACCTGTGCACGTTTATGGTTCTACTACTATGTGCTAAGAATTTCGTCGAAACGAACAGGATTTTCACTTTCTTTAATATAATTATTATATGTTGAATCCCTTTAAGACTTAACTGTTTATGATTTACCAGCGAAAACAAACGCACCCGGCAAAGTGATCAGTTTTGATCGTTCATCTCGCAAGCCCACACTTTATTTTTATTTCATTTATATAAGAAGCTTTTTTTTGTTTGTCTATTTTTTTAAGTGTATCAATGTTTTCCTTTGACCACCTCTTTACCTTCAATATTTAATTGCCTGAGCTGTAAGCGATTCAGTAATTTTATGTGGCCTAGGATAGAACAAATCAATGATGAATATCCAACATAATTTGAAAAAAGACACTCCAGATATAATTTTATATTTAAAAAAAAGTAACTATCTATTCCACTTACTCAATCACTCTCTCTCTCCCTCTCTCTCTCTCTCTCTCTCTCTCCTTTCTGTTTTTGTCATACTTTCTCTCTCTATCTATTTTTTTCAACCCATCTATCTATGTATTACATTCTTTCTATTTCGCTATATATTTATCTTCTTTCTTTCTTCTTTCACTTCTCCCATTATCAATTCCACTATCTCTATCTCTTTTTCAGTCTCTTCTCTCCCTTTTATCTCTCTCTATCTCTCTTTCTTAGTCCCTTCAGTCACTTTATTCAGTCTCTTTCCTTTGCTCAACCTTTTGCTTTCTACCTCCTTTTTTAGTCTGTTATAGTGTTCAATTTCTTTCTTTAGAGCTTTCTCTCGTTTTCGTTTTCCAGTCTCTCTCTCTTTTTTTTCTGCATTCACACTTTCTTCTTGCATCTATATATCTATCCCACACACTATTCTTTTTTAGACTCTTATCATTTTTTCAGTCCCAACATTATTTTTCAAGTCTCTCTCTCACTCTATTTCGCATTCTACATTGCATCTATTTATCCATCCACACCCCCTCTTTCTCTCTTTTCTCTCTCCTCTCTTTATTCCGGATTCATACTTTCTACTTTGCACCTATATATCGATTCCACAACTTCTCTTTTTCTCTCTTTCTTAGTCTTTTCTTTCTCTTTTTCAGTATCTCTCTTTCTTAGTCCTTGCTTTTTTTAATCAGTCTCTCCCTCTCTATTCCGCATTCTCACTTTCCACTATGCATCTGTTTATTTATCCGACACCCTCCCTTTCTCTTTCTCCTCTTTTTCACTATCTTTCTTTCTATCTTTCTTAGTCCTTTCTCTCTCTTTTTCAGTCCATTGTCTATTTCTCTCTTTCTTGGTCCCTTCTTTCTTATTTCAGGCTCTCTCTATTCCGCATCCTCACTTTCAACATTGCATCTATTTATCCATCCACACCCTCTCTTTCTCTCTCCTCTCTTTTTTCCGGATTAATCCTTTCTACTTTACACCTATATATCGATTCCACAACCTCTTTTTTTCTCTCTTTCTTAGTCTTTTCTTTCCCTTTTTCAGTATCTCTCTTTCTTAGACCTTGCTGTTTTTAATCAGTCTCTCCCTCTCTATTCGGCATTCTCACTTTCCAGTTTGCATCTATTTATCTATTGCACACTCTCTTTCTCTTTTTTCTCTCTCCTCTCTTTCTCTTTCTTTCTGTCTTTCTTAGTCCCTTATCTCTTTTTTCAGTCTCTCTCTCTCTTCCGCACTCTTGCTTTTTCTCTTTTTACTTTGCATCTATTTATCTATCTTACACCCTCCCTTTCTTTCTCCTCTCTCTCTCTCTCTCTCTCTCTCTCTCTCTCTCTCTCTCTCTCTCTCNAGGTTATCAGTTACCATAAATATTGATTAGCGATGGAGGTTTTCAAATAGATAGACATGAAAAGGTAAAAGATCAAATTAGTTGGATTTTTGTTTTATTTATGATCAAATGTGATCGCAATTGCCATAATTTTATTCGGCAAAAGTCAAAGTTTTACAGTTTTCTTTATCACGTTCACTAAAATAAACCTAGGCGTTTATCAATTGTTTAATTTAAAGCTGAGAGCGATTTGAAATTGAACCCAGCCCAAAATGTAAGGATATAAAGTAGGACATATTTTACTTTCTAAAACCATAAACTTAAACGTTTTAACGACGATCATAAAACATAGTCTACCAATGAAACTGGAAATTCTATTTTTTTGTAGCAAGTTTATTATTTTTTTAAGTTTAAGAACGCAGTAACAGTAAACCCGTATGGTTTTGATTTGTACAATATTCCCGAAGTTTTATATTCAACGAAACTCCTGTTCTTCCAGGGCTAATTAAAATGACATTCCAGGTTGTATTTAATCTTGACTAGGGAAGAAATCCCACGGCTTGCAAGTTAGTATTTGAGGAATGTCCGTGCACTTGATATCAGCAAAGCGACATAATTAATGGTACAGATAACCGTAGTGTAAAGAGGTTGTATTATTGTTCAATAACAATTAATGTCAAAAGGATGTGACAGTTAGTAGAGCAATAATGGCGAAGTCTATTAGTCCCATTCAACAAGGAATCAGATAATGGTAATTGTCTTGAACTAATAAACGGCCGATTTGTGAGTACGTTGACTCCAACGAGGCTCCTTGGGGAAAATCTTAAAATTAAAATCGAGAAGGGGAGGAGGAGAGGAAAAGGGCCGGTGAAAGTGGACATCTGGTCCCTTCGTGAGACAACTTTATTATCAATAATCACGTTTTCAATATTTACCACACGACTACTCTATGATCTGAGGTGAGACCCTCTAAACACAGCTAACTACACCCATATCTGGCGTTTTACAGAAATTCCTTTCGTGACTATTTTGCTTTATATAGTCATACACGATCTTCTTTGTGGTGTATAAATACAAGAATCAAGATATCTATATTTGGGAAGGAACTATCATACTCTGTATTAATTTATACATACATTATAAACTTTAAACCATTCAAAATCTTTGAGGCTGACTCGAAATTTAACGGACTGGCACATCACAATCTGCACACCTCTAACCACCATGTTACCCGGTGGTAACATGTGTTACCATGTGAAAATGCAATAAAAGGTATGTGCCTCTTTCGGATTTGAATCGAAGAAGAGGTATCTCACTCGACCCAGAATAGGCCATATGCGATAGACAAAGGGCACTTTTGACCCAAAGTGGATGTGTCCACAATGTGTCCTAAATGACTGAAGGGTGCCATTACTCTTCATATGGAATACGTGATATTCGATTTGTGCATTTGCATATTCTTCTGTGGCCGTTATATACAATGGATTTTTATTGTTAATTTGGGCGAAAGTTCACAGTGACTGATGGTGACAAAAAGCAAATAGCATCATCCTGAATTAGATGAGGAGGATATGTACGGTTAGGGTAATGGAGGTACATCGACCCACACTTGAGTTTCAAAATTTTGCTAAGGGATGAAATGACCTTGCTGAAGATAGCCTCAGAGCTTAACTTTGGCATGCAGGACGGAGAAAACCTTCAGGCCCAACTCAGTCCTAAAAAGACCAAAGTAGGTGGTTCAAATAATATATGTTCATTAAAATAAGTGATGATGAAGGAGACAAGAAAGTGGGGTTTATGTCCCCCTGCATCCGGCTTATTGTACTTTCCTAGTTCTTAAGTTCAAGCCGATTCGATCCTTCCATTAAGTAGTAGGCTATCAGCTGTAGTTGTTATAACTCCTTTTTATGGATTTCCTTCGTATCCCATGTCGCCATTGAGCAGTTGCTTCACTTTCGAAAATTATAAACTCAAGACTGTTTTTAATTTATAGGTAAATACATGACTGTTGTTTCCTCCATTGTAAAAACGTGTTTAAGTTTTTAAAAAGTTATGTTAGACTGGGCAGGAATGAGACATACCTGGTTGTGAGTTTGTAGCTTTGACGGTTCCGACCACGGTGTTCGGCCTAGCGTCTTCTCTGATGGACATGTCGTACCTCGGACTCTGGAAGTGTGGCGGAGTTGATTTTGAGTCCGTGATGCTGATGTAGACTTCAGCGTCCTGCTGGCTCCTCAGTCCGCCGCCGTCTACCGCTGTCACGTTCAATTTGTAGACGGGGTTTCTCACCGAGAGCCTCTCCGGCCTGCCGAGGGATATCTCCCCGGTCTTCTGGTCTATGGTGAAGATCCTTGCCGAGTTTCCGGCCGATATGGAATACGTGATGGTGCCGAATCTGCCCGAGTCCCTGTCTGTCGCTGCGACCGCGACGACAGGACCGACGACGGCGCCTTCCCTCAACGAGACGTTGTACTCCCGGGGGTAGAAAACGGGCCAGTTGTCATTGACGTCCATCAGTTGTATCTTGACTATCGCCCTCGTACTCAAGCCACCTGGAACAAAGAGCTTTCGTTAAAAGAAAAATGCAAAACGCGATTGGATTGTTGCACTCATCGGAATGCTTTTATTTGAACGATGTAAAGGTCACCCTTGGCCGAAATTCCTCCGGTCTTTCGCATTGTGTAGGCTTTTAATTTACAAGTTAAGCACATCGACGAAATTAAGCGGTCCCATTGACGCATCGGTCATTTAGATTCGAATCGTCCAACAACTCGCGTCGCTCAAAAGTGACATTCTTTTACACTTAATTCTTCAAAAGTGAAACCTCTCAATTGTTTTTATTGATTAAAACTGATGATTAATTAAGAATTAAGATCTTATACAACATATTCGAGTTTTACCGAGCTCCTCCGAAAGCTACCTCTTCTCATTCATCAATCACTCTCTGATCTGCCGACTAGACCCAGCTACCGTTTCTTAAACCGAGTTTAATAATCCTCTTACTGTTTTACGGCCTCGGAAAATATATCAAACGTTTTTTTAGTGCAATTTTCATCTGTCACTTTAAGGAACAATTATAAACTTTAATTCCCTACTTAGTACTATTCGATTATTTAACGTCCATGAACTTGAAATATTCATTAACCACCATAATCTTTCATGACAGTGACATAATCTTTTAATTATTATGCCTACGCTGGTTTCATGCCAAGGAGATGACTACTTTTTGTAAATATTAACAAAAACTATCTAAAGATTTTGAATTTCCTAGATTATTTATTTATTGATTTTTTTCGACTAAAATTCCATTACCATAATACATTTTGTAATTTTAGGGATTTTATCGTACATATTTACTATGTTTTGAGGGGAGTTAGGAACCATTGTCGTTCTTCCAACTTTACACAAGAAAGGTCTAAGGTCCGGTGCCATCTCCATGGGTTGAGGGGAGAGTTTGTCGTGTAACTTAGAAAATTTGTCCAGGATTAATTTATTTACAATGGGTATTTTGAAGTCGTTGTGGAGAGGGTATCGGATGCATATGGACCGTTGACTATTGAAGGGAAGAGTGGACAAACGATGAAGGTCCATTTTTTTGTCGGAATCTAGATTTTCCCGGCATCTGTTGGCTTGCGACATGAAATATTAACCGGGGGACCAATCAGATTCCACTAAAAATCGCGTTTGAAAATGGGCATCTAAGGAAGAACGATGAGAATTCATCTCCCCGGCATTTAAAATAATATTATTTTAACAACATATTAACAGATAAATTTACCCTAATGTAACGACCAACGATGTTTAATACAAGAAGCAGTTGAGTTTCTATTCTTTTATCCCCACACATTTCTACACTTACGATGAAAATGAAGCGCAAGGGGGCAAATTAAAGCGTGCTCCTTGCTTGGCCATTTTGCCACCGAAATTCTTTCGCAAACAGTCAGAACGCTTATAATTTTTTGTGACTCGTGTGCAGAGCAAAATAAAAATAAAAATTATACGGTTCTGCGATTCCTTCACCATCTCGTAACAGAAAACGGGAGAATAGTTTTTGTTAATTTCTTTCCCATCCGTGGCCATAGCTATCTGGTGTGCGATAGAGATATGACCATGATTAATCAAAAATCCTATGTAGATATGCCACAAAAATGGAGGGATGTGATTGGTCAGAGGTGCAAAACCTCACCGAATTACTTAGTACCGATGTACAAACCGAAAAGTCCCATCCCCACAAGAACGATTCGATGTTTGACAATATTCTCTGATACACACAGTATATACACCACCGCACTTCATTCTGTGGAGCTTATTATAAGCACAACGTGTTGTGGGTGCCACAACAGAGAGGCAAAAAAACACAAAGACAGTAGCTTCGTAACTCCGACGATGGACCCCTTCCTATTAATTTGGAAAAATATAATGACTTGCAACACCTGACAATGTTTCTCACCAACGAAGATGCCAAGAGGTTTTACAATAATTTGGTCACGGATAGAACAGCCACAGAAACTCAGGATGATGTTTATGAGTTAGACGATGAGTAGCATGGAACTTTATACCTCAGAGCTTTTTAACTTTTTTTCAGTTTTACAATAATTAATCTAAAATTATGACCATAGATATCATTTCAGAATTTTCGTTTCACTTAGCCTTTATTTTTGGAGTTTTGCAACAGCAGAGGTTATATCAACCCTCGGGGTGCCGGTGTTTTGAAAAAAAAACCATTTGTAAGTATGTCGGGTTCGATTCGAACCCGGGACCTTTGCCTTACAGTGATGAGCGCCGTGTCAACGCCTAAACCGTTGCGGCCACCGATGCCCTCCAATCAGTCAGTCCATCTTTGAAATTAATATCTTTCAATTAATTAAGGTTTTTAGTTGAGATAAAAAAGTCAATGTCACGAGCGGGATTCGAACCCACGACCTTCGGCAAAAAGGACCCACTCGGACACTAACTTCCCATCTCAACCCCACCTTTTGATTGTCCCTTCTTTTTGCCGAAGTATATCTCAAGTGGTAGAGTAGCGGCCTATCTAGACGAAGGTCGCGAGTTCGAATCCCGCTCGTGACACTTACTTTTTTATCTCAACTAAACCTTAATTAATTGAAAGATATTAATTGGTCAAGCGGACCTCGAAAATTAGTGAATTTGATTTTAATAACAAAATTTCGTAATCATGGTATTTTCTTATTCGTTCCTGGGTTCAAAATGAGGGTTTAATGGTTTTTGGATCAAGAGAATTACTCAGAAAGAACTCTAACAGTTATTACAATTATTGATTTAAACAACAAAAAAGAAACTATTTCACCAGTAGTCATAAAACTTTAAATTTAGTGTTAGAGCGTGGACTATTATTCTAACGATTTTGGATTGGAAGGACTGATCCGTCGGATGATGTCAAGTTTAGCGGTGTCCCCCCATAGTTCTAAACCATATGTCCAAATCGAAATATATAGTTTTGTACGATTTGCTTATTGCCAACTATTAGATTTGCATTCAATTAGATTATAGAAAAGTCCGAAACGTCTAATTAGTTCCTGTCTTTTCATTTGTGAGTCGGTTCCGTGAGCCAAGATAGAACGCAAGATAGCTTATATTATATATTTTACGAGGGGTTTTGCGGGGGGTAAATGTAACAAGGGTTTTCATTAATTTTTATTCATCAAAATTTTGCTCCATTCGGCTATTCGTTGCCGTCGGACTGGAGCCCCTTCCAATTGCAGATCGGGATCAGATGTCGTCTGCAAAGGATGCAAAGTAGAGGGTGCAATTGGGTTGTCTGAAGCGAGTAAGAGGTGCAGGAGTCCCACAATCGAGTCCGACCCCAGAAAAATCGTGAGGTTGGAACGAAAGCTATTTGGAAAGACTCGCTTTAGTTTGTATATGAGAGGAGGTTGAAGTTGCTTGCTAGAAAAGCAAGTATGGTGGTTATTATTATTCCTGATAGTTACTAGCAATAAATTACTATAAGAAAGCACAGATGTTAGCTCACTTAATAGAAATTGACTTGAAAAATATTGGCCATTGGGGAAAAGAATGGAAATGAGTCCCACCTTTAAAGTCAAACTCTTCGCCAACTCCTCTATTGTCATATGATTTATGACTGTATTACGACTGGTTCGTGCTTTTTCCGTTTTGTCAATTCGGAATTTATCCGTTAATGGGGTAAAGAATGCCGTGATCGGACCGTTGCGCGACCTCACCCAACCGTACATCACTAATTACACTACTGCGCACTGTTTTCAATATTAATCACCTTTCATCCCACGTCGACGGTAATTAATTCATTTAATCTCGGTTTGATCGTGGCCGACGTGGGGATTGTAAGGACACAGCTTCTAGGACACATGTATCAATTACGAAACAGGATCTCCCTCGGATCACGTTCATGTTGAATTAAATTGAAAATGTACATCGTATCATCTTTGACTTCCAATGACAGTGAATGACGTCTTGAATATACTTTAACGACATAGTAAATTAGAAAACTAACAAACATCCATTGTTACGATCCACAGTCATGCTATATTTCATTATTTTACATTATTAATCTTTTATGCTATTCATGCCATTTTGTCCTCATTTTTCCGTCTCATCTAACACTGACATGTTTTTTTAATTTCAGATTAAATCGCTTGAATTATATTACGCGGCGACTATAATCTTCAGTTATATAAACTTTTGCGGTATTAAAATTATCTATTTACCCTGTCATTGTGAATTAATTTTAATTAAACAGAATCCTACGTGGAGTAATTCAACATGTGGGATGACCTGTGATCTACTACGCAACAAAAGCATTATTTATCCAACATGTCACAGTTATCTAACTGTTTTTAATCGCTTAATCAATTTTACAAAATCGAAGAAAAAAAACCAATGCCTGTTTTTATAAACATAACCTTGCTATGGTAAGAGGGAAAAGAAAATTATAATTATTTCAAATAGACCAATTTTGGATCGCAACATCAAGATAGCGTACATGCCACAACCATAACCGTCATACCTCAGTAATATTGGCGAAATAGTTTAATCTGTTAGTCGCGTGTTGGCACTTCTCTATTTTAAGTGCTCGGTTTGGGCAACACCCACCATCGTGGACTCGTCAAAACTCGTCTGATCGAACAAGGGAGGATAAGAAAGATCGGGATGTTCTTAGACGACCAAATGTTATAAACCTGCATTTACCTATTTTAATTTAAAATAAGTCATCTTACCCAAAATCTCGTTTATTATATCATTTTATGAAAAATTGACTGTTGATGATGTTCGTTTCTACTTGGCTTATAAAACTATTATCATTTACGTTTCTCTGGAGAGTCGTAAGTATAAAACGAGAACTGCACAAACCGAGGGTCACGATGGGAAATCATGAACGCAGGTGAAACGTGAGAAACTCGTAAATATCCGTGCATGAGGAATATTAGATAAATTTAGATCTGCTCACCTCTGTCCGTGGCAATGACTGGGAATTCGTATGACGGCCTCGTCTCGTAGTCCAACTGGGAAGCAATGCATATCTCTCCAGTGTCCGACTTGATCATGAGCTGCGGGATCTTCCCGGACGTCTCGCCGAGCGTGTAGTTGACCATGGCGTTGACTCCGCAGTCCGGGTCGGTAGCCGCCACCTGAAACAATTCGAAATATGAATTTTCTCGATAATGGAGAGGGAAAATAAAACGATCTTATTGGATTTCGTATTAACTAAGGGGGCCATTAAAGATTCCCATCGCGTCATAGTTAAATAAATGGGCCATAATATATCCTATGTGGCGCAAGTACTCTGCGTGCCACCACGTATCTCCAAGCTCCCACCGCTCCCTCTTACAATCATAACTTAACAACCAGGGAGATAAATCTAAAATAGTCTTCCACGGTCTTTTGGCAAAATCTTCATTTCCCTCGAAACCTTACTACTTTATTGAGTTTTGTTATTCAACCTTTGAAAATATAAGATTAAAAAGTGAAGAATCGATATTTTTGTTACACTATTTAGAGAAGAATATACCTGACAGTTTTCCATCAAGAAATCATTTTGCCAAAAAATAAAATTTGGTTCGAGCAAATTTGGAAAAAGATCAAGAAAAATGTTTAGTTTTGTTCAGATAACACAACCCAGTGAGATCAAATGTCTGCATGCTGCAGGTCGACGATTTGTTGGCGATGGTGGAAAAAGTTCATTACTGGATTTTTTCTTTTCTTTTCAAATACAGCACAATGAAAGAGTAAAAATAGAGAGTAAGCGTGGCTTGCTCTTTTCCTTTTTAGTAGTATTCAGTAGTACCCCCCTAAATTGAATTTTTTTAAATGTTATTATTTGCATTCAACAATTCTAAAAATCAATGTGTATAATAAAGTGTTTCAGTGTAATTATATTGATTGCAATTCATTGTATTTTAACAATTTAAATGTATGTATAATTGTGCATTGATGTTGTTGAGTGTATTTTTCAGTCAATGGGTTTAGGTGATATATATATAATACATATTAATTAAAACAATAACTAAAATCTTATGTAATTACAAGAATTCTGAATTGATAGTTTTCGTTTTGTTTGTTTAATTTTATTTAGGGATTTCTGTGATCAAATATCGTTTAAAAAAAACTTATAATTTTCAAAGGCTGATTGAAACATCAGGTTACTTTTGGTTTTAACTTCTTCAAAAATATCTATTTTTCTTTTCCAATTGGCTCGGGGTATTTCTTTTGTTGACAATTTTCCTTTTATAAATTGTACAGAATTTGTTCTTTTTTGTAATTGTATAGACTTTTTTTATATATATCCATTGTGGTAATTCTCATTTTTTGAATTTATAAAGGAAATTTTGTCTTATTTTGTTCTTTCTTTTTTTTGGATTAGGATTCTTGATATTTTGGGAAATAAAATAATTAGTTTAGTTTAGATGTCATGGAGCCAATAATTATTATCTAAACTTGAAAAGAACAACTTTTTNATTTTTTTTTAAATAATATTAATGTTTTGTTATATTCAGATGGCTAGCCATGAACCTAAGTAGGTTAGGTTAATATTTTATAGTATTCAGTAGTATGGTATACTAAAATTTTTATATGGTTTTCTGTACAAAAATGTATACATGCAACAATTTATTGGTAGCATCAATAAAAGATCTGGCAGCAACCTATCAGATCAAGGTAATGGGGGGGGGAGGTGCTATTGCAGAAGGTCTAGGTGTTTACAATTGTTGGTTGTTCGGTTCATAACCCCCTCACTATGGCCCAACGTAGTTGGGGTTACAGCCTATAGTGGCTTATATAGACCAAGATTGGAAAAGTGGTCGGGAACATTGGGTTTTTGGGAGAGATCTCACCAAACACATCACAGGTGGCCAACATGTGCGAACAAAGTGCGCTGTAGATACGTGTCCGCATAATGAGCCAACATTGGTCAGCCATGTTTGTTGTTTCCGACCAGGTTTCTGTCAATAGCGTGTATCATCCTCGCCAAACAAAGCTTCAGCAGTTATTTCCTCGACTTCGATATCCATCACGGCATAGGAAAAGTAATCAAGTGCCATAGAAGCATCGTAAGGGTTGGACCATCCATTGGCCCAGTGTGTGTAGCCAAGCCCATGGCCAAAGTGGAATGATGGGCGCAAACGCATTGATTTCTCATGGACCGAATTGTTAGGGTTGTTAGGATTGTGTTAAGAGGTCATGAGGCCACAGACTTGAATGTGACGTAGAGGATTGGATGTCTTTGTGGACGTGGTTGGTTAGGGTTGAGGATGCTGAGGACTTTTGGTTAAAGGATTGGATGTTGGATAGCTTGGCCGATCCTCACAGAACGATTCCAAATCGGACTAATTAGTGTCTTTTATATTGTTAATTTTTTATGTGTATTCATCGTGGAGTTGATCAGCATGTTCGGTTCCGTTCTTTTCTTTTGTTTTATGTGTTTGTTCCATGTAGAAACTAAGCTAGCGGATTTGGTTTGATGGAGGGATTACCAAGTGTGAATATCTTGCGCCGTCTCTTTTGTTCATTAAGCTCGATGCGAGTGCACCAGTCGGTGATCTTGGGTTACTTTGCTTCAAGGATAGGGTCAGAATGTGAGATCCGGGAATGTGATGTGGGTGTTTGGACCTGGATAGGTCAGCGGTCTGGTATACAGAAAATAAATAATGAACACACTAGCTGACACATCTAATTTGTAACTGCGAAAGAGGGGGTGATCGCTGAGAAGAGGTTAAGGGTGTTAACGCCCCCGAATCCTTTTCCGAATAAAGAATCAAGAAAAAAAAGTGAGAAAAAGAAAGAGCGAGAGGGAAGAGGTGATATCCAATAAATAGTTTACGTTCGTGACGATCGTTGGAATAAATTAGCAATTTGGGTTGATTAAAATACCAGAGCTACCACCTCAAAACTCAGCTCTCGGCCCAATCCCAACCCGTCGAGGTAGGATTCAAAAACTCGGACGAAACTTCTCTGCGAATTTTCACAAATAATAAATTTTATCTATTGTTTCCCGTTTATGACCCGTAAGAAAAAGGAGCGTTTGTAAGGATCAAAGGGGCCGTAGACTTTTTCAAACCGGTCTTGCCTCTTCGGTGGAAGAAGCCCAATAAAACGAAAAGTTCATGTACAATAAATTTCCGATTTTAAAATATATTACGAAAAGGAATAAGAAAAATAAATAAGCCAACTTAATAGAGTTAAATACATTCCTTCATTACCGATTTAATTATTATTTCTGACTTCTAGTGATAAAAACATCTACAGAAGTTTCAAGAAGCCATAACATCAATTATACCGACATAAAACTATTAATAGTGAAAACATTGACAGTATATTTTTTATGCTAATACACACTCTATAAATCAACAACAAATAACATCGGACATCATTTTAATATATGGTAATAGTTACAGATCATTTTCGTCCGACAGCCGCGTTTTGCCTTCTCGCCATCTTGAGTTGTAGGTAAACAAAGCTTAAAAATGTTCAAGACTGATCAAATCGCACAGATCGGCCATTGAAGATGGCGAGAAGTTCCTGCGTCTGTCAGAACAAAATAGTGAAGATCGGAAACCAAATTGCAGTTTTTCACCCCGCAGACGAGACATCTAAAAAGTTCTCAACTAAGTTTTTCCTTTTTTTAGACAACATAGTATGCTGTGGTGTGTAAACAGTATCTTTGGTGGTAACAATCTTTCGTCAGACAATAGACACTAAAACTTTTGTACAACATACTTTTCTTTGTTCTTCACCCCTCCCCCCACAAGAGTGAGGAGGTTTTTGGAATCACCAAAGTAATTTGCCAAGTAATCAAACGAAAACGCAAAGAGAGATGAGGAAGGAATTGTTCCTTTACCTAGAGGAATCCTTTTTACCTCTAGAAACGTATCTTTTAAAATAATGACTTTAGGATTTAGTAGACAAGAAAAAGTTAAAACAGCGGTGCAATTTTTGTTTATTTTTTGAATATTGGACTGAGCAAAAGATTGCTGTCCAAAAAACCAAAGCCATATCCCAAAAATTGGTATCAAAAAGAATTCCGAAATGGTTGTTTCTTGGTGCCCACTGTGAAAGCTAAGTTCGTATGTTTCACCTAAGTATATTTTTTCTCGTGTTCTTGTTGAACTATTTTCTTCTCCTTTTCTTACTTTTTGACATTCTTGACATATAACACAGTATATGCAAATACCGCAATAATGAAATACTTACAGAATTGTCATATTTGATAGATGATTTGAAGTCTCAGGGAGGAGGACACATCCGCGCCGTTAGATCAAGTCTGGGTTTTTAGTTTACTTTTTAGCTGTGAGTGTCTGCTTTCGATTTATGTGCTTTTACGTTTCTCCATCTTGAATGTATCTTTTATGGGGTGATCAACGTGTAATTTGTGTTTGTGATTCATTGTTTGTAATTTTATTCATCTTTCTCGAGCCCTTTCTTATGTTTTTGAAATGTGAAAGGTTTTTGGGTTTTATCTTTATGCTGTTTAGTGTCTGACGTGCGAAAAATTCCTCATATTGAATTTGTCGTTGACGTTTGTAGGGTGTTCAATTTGTAATTAGGTCGTTTTAGATGGGCTTCCGTTAGTCGTGTTTGTATGCTTAGTATTTTATCAAATTCAGTGATTGGCCTGTGTGTTATTCACCCTCCTCGAGCTTAGTTGGTAAGATTTTGAAAAGTACAAGGGCTTTTCGTTTTTATCTTGGTTTATCAGCGACTTTGGAAATTCAAGTCGAGGGTTTTAGTTGATTGCTGATTTTATTTGTATGCTGTTCGCTCTTTTATTTTTATGCTGTTTATTCATTTTATTTTTGCGCTATTTAGTATCTGCTGTATATAAAATTCCTCAATTTTGGAAAATCAAGTCGACGGTTTTTGTTGATTGCTCATTTTATTTTTATGCTGTTTGCTCATTTTATTTTTATGCTGTTTGCTCCTTTTATTTTTATGCTATTTAGTGCCTGCTGTACATAAAATTCCTCAACTTTAGAAAATCAAGTTGACGGTTTTAGTTGATCGCTCATTTTATTTGTATGCTGTTTGCTCATTTTATTTTTATGCTATTTAGTGTCTGCTGTACATAAAATTCCTCAACTTTAGAAAATCAAGTCCATGGTTTTAGTTGATTACACGTTTTATTTTTATGCTGTGT